TTCGAGGTTTCGATGATTGTAAACTGAATTGTTTTGGAATTTGACATGAAAATTGTCGTGAAGTAATTCATCGAAAAATCAGTGCACGCATACACGTATATATGACTTCTGTGTTTCCTTCAGCTGGCAGTGCCTGCATGATAACTCAGTTTGAGTGCAAGAATGGCAACTGCATCAGAGCCAACTACGTCTGTGACGGTGATAACGACTGTAACGATATGAGTGACGAGGAAAACTGTTCTGAAAGTGAGTATCAGTGCATTACGATATGACAACAAATTTCTTCAGGGTAAGTACTGAAACTCTCCATCATGCGAAATATATGATTATTTAATTTCAATAAAAGTTTGCATTGTTTCTGTTTGTGCTAGTATGGAGACTGTACAAGTTACATATAAAGCCAAGATTCTTTTGGAAAAACTGAATTTACAGATATACGAGTAATTCGTGAAAAAACTCGTAAGATAAGACATCATATTGCGAACAAATTTTTCATCAAGTATAATTTATTATGACAGTATTTTCCGGTATTGAATAAAAAAATCTGGAACCCTATGCGTTTATGTTAGAAACAAGCTATCGGCATTCTAATTCGTATCGTAAAATGCTTGTAATTATAAGCTTTAAATTTTTTCCTTTACTTGAGAATGATCTTCCTTTGAGGTAATTAATGAACATTGAGTACAATGAAAACTACTTATGTATCTTTATAAATTTATCTGCATAAGTTTTGATAAAAATGTTCAAACTCTTAAGTACTGTCGACGAACAAATTAAATTGAAAATCAATTCAAATAATAAAGGACAACGTGCAATCAAAATCAAACCTCTGACGATGCTCCAACGGAATCCAAACTAAATTTGGTGACGTTACAGATATTGATTCATTTCATTAGAATGAGAGCGGCTCTCAACTTCATTTGGGATGAAAGGAATCATGATTCGAGTCTAATTTCAACTAAGAAATTACATTAAACTCAATTCACAATAAAACTCTTTAAACTTTGTAAAGATTTAAACTCACTCAAATTACGAGTAGGGAAAATTCAAGTGCGCATTGAGGACTTCTTCTAAAGGTTAAGATATTTTCAGCTCTCAATTTATAATAAACTTTGACTAATCCACATGCTTCCTTGCAGTTTGAGGCGTCTGGTCCAGGTTCTCCAGCTCTAATCCGGCCATACTGTTTTACTGACGTACATTTGACAACGACCAACATGCAATACAAATAAACATACTCCTACATACCGCTGCTATACAGTGCTTTCATAAAACTTTCATCACTGTATTGTTATCATCTTCAAGCTACTTGTTTACAATTTCATCTAAACTTTCCAACCATCATCAAGAAGTTAGATGGTTTTTTAGTTCAAAATAATCTCATTTATCTGCCGATGCAGCTAATGGCGGTCATTGATTCTGATTGCTCCTTGAGTATTGAAAGGATCTCAGAGCAAAACCGTTTGAATTCAGATTTAATGTTTCATCGGTAGTTACTGTAATGTAGTAAATAATTGCATGTATTCAGCTTTGTCCGTTAAATTGTTAGCTGCATTCTTAAAATTTTTTCAGTGAAATTTCAAGATCTAAATAAATTAGGTACTCGTATAATAAATATCAGCTAAGAATCGTAATCTGCAGAAGGCAACAGAAAATGTTTTCAATGCAAATAATTATTCATTTAATTGAATTTCTGTCTGGTACATATTAATACATCTTTATTTTTTAGCAAGTAAGCACACACGTTCGATATGTTGCTTCCATACAGACTAATTCGCTTTGTTTGTGTGATTTTTAACCTATCTTCAATAATGCATATACGGATATCAGCTCAACAGATCAAAAATATTATTATTGGTTTACCATTCTGATAAATTGTGGGAGAAAATTATTTTGGACTGCTTTTCAATATTCATTCGTGGATATATTCTTCATACCGCAAAGTTTTGCAGACTAATACCAAATCCTAATAAGAATTGAGATAACTAACTGCAAATAAGGAATGAAAATATGAGATGACATAATTGCCTCACATGGCGTACAACATATTGCAGTTGACAAAATGACCTCGCAGTATATAACGAACATACCGAAGAAACTTTGGCGTTACGTGGGTAGAAGTACAAAGGATCGACCTCTTTTGTCATGGATGTCTGTAGAATCGATCGTTTCTATCATAAAAACGAAAACAATGGAAAATGCAAGTTGATTGAAGATCAGAGCATGCTTTTTATTAGTAATCTTCTTATTCGTTCCTTCAATGAGTCGAACAAAATTTCTTGCTGGCGCCGTGAGATCAAAATGCAGGTTACCAAATGACATTTTAATGGATTGCGACGTTTCGAAAATACAATTTTCATTATCAATTAAGCTGCATGGTGAAGGTTTTACAACACTTGAAATTGAACTTTGGATATGCCAGTAGTACATATCAATGGTATAGTGGATACAATTTAAAATATTAGCTTAAAAATTACTCTGAAAAAAAAATTCAGCGTCCGGACGAATCCTGTAGTTTGGAGGTTGATAGCCGGAGACTCGCTCTTGATAATGAGGGCCTCAGCTATCGCCAGTCTTGATGGGTCAGGGCACCGCATAACTATGCTGGTGCAGGCCTCCAATGTCGCTCGGGTGATGGTCTCATTGTGGGCTTCCCGCATGTGGTTCTTAGGGTACGGCCAGACTAAAAGCGAGAAAGCTGAAGTGCGCGGAAGCTTGGAGCGCGTTGGCGCGTGTAGGTGGCCAGACACAACGCGAGGTGGCGCGACCAGTCAAAGAAAATTTAGACAAGTCAAAGAAAATTTTCAACAATCGCCTACCAAGAGCCCGGCGAAGCGTTGAGCGCGCGTTTTTCATTATAAAATAGAATAGAAGTGTCGACACTGAAGAAATAGGCCCATGGCCTGTTCGATTATTATAATTTTCGTGACTTGATGCACAAAGGATCCGGCCTTTGGAACCCGATCTTTCCATAACTGACGATTAATTGAGATAGCTGCTGGACTTATTGTCAGGTCCGTAAGTTGCTAGGCATTTTAAGACTGAACATATGCTCCTGCATAGCTTCGTCTAGTCTTATTGCCTGGTCCGTAATTTGCTGGGCATTTTAAGACTGAACATATGCTCCTGCATAGCTTTGTCTAGTCTGTTCTTGAAGGCGTTCATACTCGGAGCGTCAACGATGCTATTATGACCGCAAAGTCTAGATTACTAACGAAGTCTATCGAAACAAGTGTTGAACATGAAACAGTAATTGTAAAAGCCATTTGTGCTTTACACAATATGATCCTAGCTCGAGAAGGCATCGACACTGAAGCAGGAACAGGTGTCGAGGATCACGGTGAAATAGTAATTACCAGAACACCAACTGCTGAAAAAATAGCCCGAGGTATGCTATCAATGTTCGTAACACTCTGACTACTTAAGGGGACCGGCTACCCTAAAATTTTCAATTTTGGCGTTTTTCGGTTTTTGTGCTCATCTGAAAGCTGGAATTCTGCTCTTTAAAATGGTACCATTGCCATCGCTGTACGCCAATATTTACGTTCATGACGTCTCTTTAAAGGGAAGCGGGTGAGAGAGTTCTTTAAGTAATTAGATATAAAGTAATTAGCTGCTGAAATCTATGAATATAGTTTCTACTTGAGTTGTGCTGCAGTTACATGCTTAGTCTCATCTTAAAGCTGACATTTTGAGCTTTCCAACGATATTAATGCGATCCATGTACGGCAATATTGACTCAGACAGCCGGGCTTTAATAGGGAGCGAGGGGTGGAGTTCCTTCACTAAATAGACCTAAGAAAATTACAGCGGCAAGACTACATATCTTGGTGTATCTGGCATCTGAGCTCAGTTACCCTCCTAACATTGTACGTAGAGGTGCGCTACAAGTTGCTGCTAGCATCCTTGAGTGGATTAAGCTACAGAAGCCTGTAGTTTGGTATCCATGCTACATTGAGTGCCTATTATATGGTCCTTACGAACCGAATGATACGTGTCTCGATGTTGTAGGATGATATTTGTAGGAGGAGATAGATTTTCTAAAGTTCCCCTTTTTAGCCGTTTTTTATGACTTCACGTTTTCTATCAATTTTTTTGAAAAATTCATATAAGCAAAATGTTCTTATTTTTACATTTTACGTATGTATGTGAAGTTTCATGATGATCGAATAATAACTACGGGTCCATGCGCAATTGAAGCGATGAATGTCATGAAGATAATTCAGTCGTGATAAAAACATAACCAACAAATAATATAAGACAAAAATTTTGAAGATGTCTACATAATCTCTACAGATACATCTACGAGTTCAAACTGGGAATCTCCACCATTGGATTTGTTGCGGTAAAACATTCACTTTCTGAGAAACAAATTTTTATTTCAACATTATTTCATCATAAATTTTTGGAATTTTTCAGCCTATCTAATTCATCAGTGATACAATGACTGAACTTACTTAACTGATATTAAAACTATCGTACTTTCAAAAATTTTACGTACACTAGCCAGTAATTTCCTTACAATGAAATTTTAGTCTAGAGCGGCGAAACATTATATTTAGCGCAATGAACAAATTAATTCGCGGTGAGCAAATAATCTATTCAACTATATTTAATGGTGTTGATTTGAACTGCGAAGAAAGGAAGACGTCTCACCTTGTTAATGATATCAGTCCAATTTCAAACTTATTTCCCCACTATATGTCGGAAACATTTCCTTCTATTACAAACTACTACATTCGTTAATTAATTTTATATTCCTCCGAGACGAGAATTTTATGTTCCTCCGAGAATGTCAAAATTTTCAGAGTTATTTGCTTTAATTACCTGAAAGTTCTTAAAGCTTTTAAATTATATAAGTTCTATACTTAGCTACGCTTTCATTACGATACAAACAAATGCACAGATTCTTCTTGCATTTATCTTGCACTAAAGTGGCATGTTTGAAAACTTGAGCATTTGAGCTCATTTCTGACCTGACTTTGTAGTCATATTCCCGTGCATCTGCATGGTCCATTCTTCTGGCTTCATAAAACATATTGCTCCAGGAAATAATTTTTGCAGAGTTTTATACAAGACGCTGTATTTGTTTTAATTTTTGTGATCTCCTTTATTTTGACTGTTTAATTGTGCTTGTTCTTTCGACTGCTTCGTTCTCTTTTGATAAATCTGAGGCTCTTTACATACGATTCGCCCTTTTTCAGCTATTTATGTGCATTAATGAAGATAGCCGATAGGTTAAAAATTACACGATACGAGCGAATTTGTCTGTATGGAAGCAACATATTGAACGCGTGTGCTTACTTGCTAAAAAATAAATGTGTATTAACATATGCCAAAAGAAATTCAATGAAATGCATAATAATTTTCAGAAAAAATGTTTTGAAGTTATCGTTTATACATTACGAATGTTAACTGATCTATATTATACAAATCTGTCCCCAATTTATTTGGCTCCCGAAATTTCATTGAATAAATTGATGAATGCAGCATAATAATTTAACGGAAAATGCTGAATACTTCCAATGATTTATTACAATACACTAACTACCAATGAAACATTAGATCTGAATTCAATCGGTTTTGATCTGAGATCCTTTCAAGATCCGAGAGCAATCAGAATCAATGACCAACATCAGCTGCATCGGCAGCTTAATGAGCTTATATTGAACTAAAAAACATTCTAACTTCTCTAAGATTGATGGAAAGTTTAAGTGAAATTATAAACAAGTAGCTTGAAGCTGATAACAATATAGTGATGAAAGTTTTATGCTATCTATATAGAAGCATGTGTAGTGATATGTAGGAGTTATATTTTATTTGTATTGCATGTTGATCGTTGTCAAATGTACGTCAGTAAAACAGTATCGCCGGATGAGTGCTGGAGAACCTAGACCGGACGCCTCAACCTGCATGGAAGCATGTGGATTAGTCATAGTTTATTATAAATTGAGAGCTGAATATATCTTAACCTTTAGAAGAAGTCGTCATTGCAAACTTAAATTTCCTATACTCGTAATTTTATTGAGTTCAAATCGTTAAAGTTTAAAAGATTTTAATTGTAAATTGACTTTATTGTAATTTATTCCTTGAAATTAGACTCGAATCATGATCCCCTTCATCCCAAATGGAGTTTAGAGACGCTCTGATTATGCAGCGTCACCAAATTTAGTTTGGATTCCGCACTATTCAACCCACCCAAAACATTGCCTCGTTTGATTGCACGTTGACCTTTATTGCTTGAATAGATTTCCTGTTCAATTGGTTCGCCGACAGTACTTAATAGTTTGTACATTTATATCAAAACTTACGCAAATAAACTTGGTAAGATACACAAGTAGTTCTCATTGTACTCAATGTTCATCAGTTACCTCAGAGGAAGATTATTCTCAAGTAAAGGAAAAAGTTTAAAGCTTATATTTACAAGCATTTTATGATACGAATTAGAATGCCTATAGCTTGTTTCTTACATAAACGCATCGGGATCAATATCTTTTATTCAATACAGGAAAATACTGTCGTATTAAATTTTACTTGCTAAGAAAATTTGTTCGCAATATGATGTGATATCTTACGAGTTTTCTCACAAATTATTTGTATATCTGTTAGTTTCGTTTTCTAGAACAATCTTGGTTCTATAAGTACTCGTACAGTCTCCATACTACCAAAACAGAAACAATGCAAACTGTTATTGAAATTAACGTGAATAATCCCATGTTCCTCCACGGTAAAGAGATTCAGTACTTACCCCGAACAAATTTGTTGTCATATCGTAATGCAC